TACGGCCGGTCCTTAAAGTATTTGGCGGTTCTCATTTGGGTCCCCAAACTATGAAATCATACGCTTGGCTACCTAATGTATTTAAGTGATCTCATCTAGGTCCAAAATAGATATGAGGAGAGGTTAGTAGTCGGCGTGGACATGATTTGAATAGAAAATCTATGAGGCATGCAACGCCCCATCGGTGATGGCAGAGCGTGACACGCGCGCCGCCCCACGTAGCCACCGGTCGAGGACGACCCGCCACGTGCGTGAAGCCACCATGCCGCCTCCTCGCATCGTTTCGCCCCGCACCTGCACTCCCCATTCTCGCATATAAGCCACGCCCACGTAAGCCCGATCATCGCACCACACCTCCAACGCATTTAATCGCCATAGCCATCTAGCTCGGCGATCACACGGCCGCATCCATCCATCGACCGCCATGGCGAGGGCGGAGCGCGAGCGGTGAAGCGTGGTCATGTTCCCATGGCTCGCGACGGCCACATCACCCGCACCTCGAGCTGGCCAGCGCCTCACATCCGTGGACCGTCGTGCCACCGGCGATAACATTGACGTGACTGTGCACCTCGTCTCCACGCCGTGAACATGTCGGCGATCGCGCGCGGCACCAGACTTCGCGGATCCGCTTGTGGAGCTCCACCTCCCGATGCCACCGGACCTACCGCCCAAGCCGCACACCACCAAGCACCTCCCTACCGCCTCATGCCGCGCTCAAGTCTTGCGTGAGACCTTGCCACTGCCAAGGCTTCAAGGCGTGGCTGCTCGACTGAAAGCTCGCCCGAACCTCCTCCTCTTCAATTCCTCTACCTGTGGCGCCGCCGAGGCCGCGCCCGTAGTGCACCTCGGCACTGCAGTAGCCGCCGCCGCCACCTCCTTCTTCCATCCCATCGCTTCGGAAGGTTCGCGTCGGCCGCAGACGTTCTGCTCCGGGTATGCCGGGCTCAGCAGTCACCGAGGAGGCCAAGTACACGCCCATGTTCGCTGTCTGTGACCACCCCTAACGCCTCGGTCCTCGCGCGATCACTTGGCCGACCTCAGCCGCGGCCTCGTGCCGTGGCCATCAAGACGTGCGTCGACATCGAGCGACCCTACATGGGCTACTCTTCGAGCCCCGGACAGCAGGAGATCGTCCCCGTCGCCCGGCCATTGCTCGTGGGACGACTCCGTGGTGCTCATCTCTGCCGGCATCGAGTACTTCATGCTGAGCAGAGCGCGCGATGGCTGAGCGGATGGCATGAAGCGACCTAGGAGACTTTTCGGTAAAGATTATAAAGATCATTCTTTATCAGAACTTTTCATTTGTATTGCCATTATAAAGATCATAATCACAACAATGCCCCTAGAAAAATTGGTGGTCTTCAGGTACTTTACTCCAACTTTTTCCGGGTCCTCTGCCACTTCAAAGTTAGTTCGCCGAGCTCTATAGCCCGTCAAAATTCATTCATTTAAAAAGAAAAATATGATGATTTTTCTATGATATATTAATCATATCAAATCATATTTTTTGTGGAATTAAATGAAAATACTTTTTATATGAAATTATAGATCTCGAACGAGATCTACAACTTTCTAGTTTTGATTTTTTTCATTTGAAGTCATAAGATGCGATGTAAAAAAATTAATAACATATTTGAACTTAATGGGCATTTTCGCCTTTTCATACTGTAGTTTGACGGTGTTAGAGCCTCGAATCGACGGAAGTGGCATGGAGGACCAAAAAGTTGAAGTAGTGGCGCTGAAGAACGCTAAATTTTTCTAGGGGCACAGAAGGGATTACGATCTTTTATAATGGCACGCAGGGAAAAGTCTCTTCTTTGTGGGTGGTGCGGTTCCCCAAGGGCCCCGAGGACGGCGACGACAATGGCGCTGCTGCCTCAAGATGTTCGTGCGGTGTTCGGGCGCGGTCTGGTGGTGGAAGGGTGGGCGCAGAGAGCTGCTGGCCCCGGCGCACCCGACCTGTGGCGTGTTTCGTCACATCGCGGTTGGAGCTCCGTGGTTGGAGTCTCGGCAATGGGCGTGCCGATCGTGGCGCCCTCACGACATCGACATCGACAGCCTAGGCGCCACCACTCGCCGCGGAGCTGGGCGCCGCTGCCGTGCTCGTGCCGTAGGAGCGGTTCGGGAGTTCCGGCCGAGGACGCGGAGCGCTGCGGTGCGGGCCATCTTGGGAGGAGAGCAAGGGCCAGCGCTGCACCGCTGGAGCTCGCCAGAGGTGGTGGCGCGGAACGACACGGATGGCGCGTTGGTCAACGCGCTCGTCCAAATGCAGATGGCACGGCTTTCTGCGGCAAGGGACAAGAGAGAGTGGCGGGCGGCGCCTTACGGGTAGAGGAAGTCAAGAGGAGGAGGTCCCGGGCGGATTGTGATTTGATTGCCACTATCATCTATTTACTCACGCCGCCTTTCTAACCCTCCTCGTGTCTATTTTGGACCTAGATGAGATCACTTAAATACATTAGGCGCCCAAACGATGACGATTTCATAGTTTGGTGACCCAGATGAAAACCACTCAATACTTTAAGGACCGGCCGTGCAATTTTCCTCGAATTTATATAGGCACATAAGACATCCACTCTAACTGCAAGCAATTATTATAGCACATATCTATCATGCGAAAGCTATCTACATCCATGGACACATTAGTCACTAAGGGCCTGCTTGGATCATCTAGTCCTGAACTAAACTTTAGTCTCTACCATGTTTGGATTTAGAGATTAAGACTATCTCCAACAACGACGTCCAAAATACAAGACCTATTAAATATTTGGGTAGCACTACAGGCAAATAGTTTAATACATATGTTTAGTCTTCTCCAACAACATGACCCAGGAGAGAACATTTTCTGTAAAATAGGTTTTTAGGAGAGAGAGGATGTTCATATTTAGGTTGTACATCTCCTACTACCCAAAATAGGTCTCCCGTATTGGTACTCAATTGAAGGCTGAAATAGTACTATCGAAGACCCATTTTGGATTTAGGTGTCGTTATGGGTACTTTGTTGAAGATAGTCTAAATGCCATTAAAGCCGCTGAACAAATACCAAAATGCCCCCATTCTCCTCTTCCCCTACAGCCACCGCCATCCTCGCTCCTCTCCCTCCCCACCGCGCTCTCCGTGATGCCGAACCCTCGCGGCAGAGCCGGACCCAATTCGCAGCGGACACTGTCGGATCTCCCACCGCGGACCCGTGCCGGAGACATGCATTTATTTGTCCACGTTAGCATACCACGCCATCAAGCAAAAATCATTCGCAATTCATGCAGCGACGCGCGGGGTATCCTTCTAGTTTTTAAAGAAAATGAAGCGAACCATGTATGTGGCAGCCTCATCCATTTAAGAGTACAAAGTTAACATAAAACGATTCAAAGTCGCAGTTCAATTTTTTAGTCAAATATAATAGAAAAGAAGAAACATAGTTCAATCTGATAATGTAAAATTAATCATAGAAAACCTCTTGATGTTGGCCAAGTACTTGAATCTTCACCATGGAATAAAAGGAGATTCAAATTGCAATTTGAATTATCTTTTTTCTTTTGCGACTGCAATTTGAATTATCTTTTGTTGACAATTATAACAGGAAAAAAAGCATAGTTCAATATGAGAGCTTAGAAAATAAAAATTGAATGTTAAAAGGTAATACCTAATACATATTGTTACCTTGAAAATTGCAAATGACCCCTCATGAAAAAAATCTACATTGTAACTTGTTCTCCCGCACGAGTGGCCCAACCTCCACCGCTCGATCATATCCCCTCCCCTGCGTATGAAGGATCAAGGAGGCTGACCAGAGGGACCGAATAGTCATTTTTAAACTAATTACAATGCCTCGGTTTTCTCCTAGTTACAGAAGCTCACCAATAAAAAATCGAGTCACATTGGTTTACCCTCAATAGAAAATTACATGACCACACGATAGAAGTGGGCGGAAAAGAAGAGAAAGCTGACAATAGTCAAAGAATTTGTCGATTCTAATTATATAGAGTTTGTGCAGTTGGATGTAGCGGAGACACATGATGAGTGAAAATTATAACCAAAGAAACAAACAAAACGATTTACAAAAAATACTCTTAAAAAAAAAAAGGAAAAAAGTAAGGTACGTGGTCTGTTTCGCGGACAACCTTGCTAGTTTGACTCGGACTAAGGCCCCATTTATTTGAGCTACAGCCGCCCAAAAAACTAGTTCTTTGATTTTTGCTCGTTATATTTTTACTATTAGTTTTAAATAAATTTTTGGATTCTCAGGAAAAAAAAAACAAATCTCAGCATGTTCTTCAGCTTTATTTTCTTAAAAAGCAACCTTCTAGTTTTTCAAAAGTCATCTTTAACAACTGCATTGTTTGTTTAGCAGAAGCAACAAGAAAACTAAAACAAATATGTCCGAAATAGAATAGCATCGTTATAGAGACGGAATGGCATTAGATTTGTCACATGCGAAGGTCAGATCGTCCTTGGCTAGGTACACTATCGCACCGCGCATTCACCGGATCCCCGGAGCTTGAAGCTCCGGCCCCTGCTTCGCCTCCCTGCGTCCCCGGTGGCCCGGTCCCTCGGCACTGGATCCAGGCATCCAGCGCCCGCCCGCGCACACGCGTGCCGGTCCATCGGCGCCCCGCGCCAGCGCCTCGCCACATTCTATCGACAGCCCATTCAATCTCCACCGGTTCGGTTGGCCCGCTTCGATCTCCACCGGCCGGTGATGTCCTCCCGCTCCCGTCCCGTGCCCGTCCATCCATTCCATCCGCGCGTGGCGTCACCCACCCCTCATCGGCGCCCGCGCCTCGTCCGCTTTCCCCCAACTCCCACTCCAACCACCACCGCCCAAATAATCCCGCGTCGCCTACCCGTCCCGGCGCGACGCCATGCTCTCTATCTCCTTCCTCACCAAGCTCCTCGCTATCCTCCTCCGGGGCATCCTCCTCCACCTCCACGCCCCCACCATCCCGTCCTTCGCGCACCACTTCTTCTCCACCTAGCGGTGAACTCGCTCTGCTGCTGCCATGCCGAGAGCTCTGCAGAGATCTGGCAGCAACAGCCTGGCCTCCCTGCTCCGCGCCGAGCCACCGGACGATGTGGTCCTCGATCTGAAGCGGACCGAGCGCGATGGTCGACGCCGCAGGAGGAGGAGGAGGAGGAGCTGCCTCCGGCTGCCCCTCGGCGGGGCCGGTGGGTGCCGCGTCTGCGCATGCGACGAGATGGACTCCTCCGCCGCGGCCCCGCTCCGGCGCACGCCGGGGAACGACGACGAAGACGAGGATGGCGCCGCAGTGCAGTGCTTCGCCTGGAAGAAGGGTGCCGCCGCGGCGGCGCACCGGCCGTCGGGAGCCGGTGCGGGTGAGGTATTGGTGACGGAGGCGGCCGCGGCGGCGTCCCTGGCGGTGCTCCCGGACGACGTGATGGAGATGGTTCTGTGCCGGCTGCCGCTGGCCTCGCTCCTGGCGGCGCGGTGCGTGTGCAGGCGGTGGAGGGACCTCACCGTCGCGCCTCAGTTCCTGCGGATGCGCCGCGAGGAGGAGCCCGGGCCGTGCCGGACGCCGTGGCTGTTCCTGTTCGGGGTCGACGGCGACGTCGGGTGGGGCGCCGCCCCTGCCCCGGCCGTGCACGCGCTCGACGTGGCCGCGCACCGGTGGTGCCGTGTCAGGGCGGACGGGCTGAAGGGGAGGTTCCTGTTCTCCGTCGCCGGCGTCGGGGACGACCTCTACGTCGTCGGTGGCCGGTCCGGCGGCTCGGATGCGAGCAAGGTGAAGACACACAAGGGAGTGCTGGTGTTCAGCCCTCTCACCGGCTTGTGGCGGAAGGCGGCGCCCATGCAGACCCCGCGGTCTCGCCCGGTGCTGGGCGTGTTTGAGATGTCCGCCAGCTGCAGCATTCTCCACACTCGCGCAGAGAAGAATGTCCGACGCGGCAAGTCTCGGTTCGGTGGCGCATCCGCCGTGTACGAGGACCCGCACCGGCTCTCCCTCCGCCGCCTCCGCCTCAAGGACATGCTGAACGAGGACACTGATTCCACTGACCTCGCTTCGTATCATCATGGCAAATCCGCCGGACAGGAGGGCGAGGAAGGCCAGCCGAGGCTCGCCGTTGTCGCCGTCGGTGGGCGCGGCCGCTGGGACGAGCCACTGGTGTCCGGGGAGATATACGATCCCTTGGTCGACAAGTGGGTCGAGATTGCCGGGTTTCCCACCGACGTAGGGCTGGCCTGCTCCGGCGTCGTCTGTGGCCGGATGTTCTACGTATACTGCGAGTCCGACACGCTCGTCGCCTACCATCTGGATAAGGGCTCCTGGGTCGTCATTCAAACGCTCCCCCCGCCTCCGCGGCTCCGCGACTACGCCCCGACGCTGGTGTGCTGCGCGTCGCGGCTGTTCATGCTCTGCGTGTCGTGGTGCGACCGCCACGGGCCGGTGAACCGGAGGGAGAAGGTGGTGCGGAAGCTGTTCGAGCTCGACCTCAGCTCGCTCCAGTGGACCGAGGCGTCGGGGCACCCGGACGCGCCGATGGATCCCAACGCGGCGTTCGCCGTCGGGCAGGACAGGGTCTACGCCGTCGAGATGTTCAGGATCTTCGGCAAGGTGCTCGATTTCGTTACGGCCTGCCGGGTTTCGGACACGGAACAGAAGTGGAGCCGGGTTGGCCGGGAAAACGCGGCGACGGAGGCCGACGCCATGTCCTGCAGGCTGAAATCCATGGCCGTCCTGCACTTGTAACTGCTGCTTATTTTTTATTTTCTTCTTCTCCTCCCTATAGTCTGCTTGCACAGATTTGTTGTTTCCATGAACAGACATGATGATGAGATGATGTTTATACATCACAGCTATTGCATCATTCATTTATTTGTTGACATTACAGTGACTATTCATACTCATGGTTCCCGAAATTGTTTTGTATTCTGTGACAGTGATCAGACTCATATTCTCAACATCTGTATGCAGTACCAACTCATATTTAATTGATGAGCCCTAGTTCTTGTTGCTTGCTGTTTGTCAAGAGCTAAACTAACCACCTTGAGTGCACTTGTACGCTCCTTAATTTGTGATGGTTCAGTCTCATCTCCATGATTAAATATATCATTAACTCATTCGGTTGGTACAGATCCAGCGAGGCCATGATTTAATTAAGGCATGTGACACATACATTGTGGCTTAATCATCCTGCGTCCTGTTCGTTTGAACTGCTTCTCTCACAACAAAACATCATCCGTCGGTTTATCAGCCGCAGAAACCGTCAGCCGAACAGGACGCTGATCATCCTAGCAGTCTGTATAGAGTGCGGACCATAGACCAGCAACCTGCTCGTATACGATCGTGGATTATAAGCTGAAACAGTATTTTTCTCTCATACCAAACCAGCCAGCAGTAAATAATCCACGAAACAGGCTGCAGTGATTTAATAGTGGTTGGCTTTCGCATAGTCAAATGTTGTCGAATTATCCGCTAGGTATTCATGGAGGAGGCATCCCGGCCTGTGTACAACTTTCTTCATGCCGTTTCATACGTTCACGGGATTAAGGTTCATTTGAAAATCCAAATTATATTGCTTATCTTGCAGGTTCTAGCTTGATTTTGTCAGCATTTTTTTTCTCATGATAGGAAAATATATATTTCCCTGATCACAATCTAGAAAAGGGGGGCACATCTTCACTCATGCAAATGAGAAAATTGTAAGCATAACAGATCTTTCTAGTAGGTTATCCTCCCAGTCCTAGCTTGTGATCATTCATACAGTTTAAAAAATAGAACCAAAATATCCATCATTCTGGTAGGTAGCTGCTCTATTAGAGAGAAAAAAACCCCGATTGCAAGTCATCATAAGCAAGCTCCAGGAACATGCTTTATCCACCATCACAACTTTAAAAAACAAAGCAGTTCCATGATTTCTAAAGTAAAAAAAAAAGGAAGGGCAAAGCAACCTCACAAAGCATCAATATATTCCCATTAGCCGGAACCAAATCATCTAGCCATGGACTTGCAAGCAGCATCACAAGAAATGTGTACCAACCAGATCGGCGAAGTGATGTGGCCACGTGCCGTTGGCATCCTGGACTGACTCTCGAACCCTTGATTAGCCAGTAGTGCTTGCGTTGTGCCGATGGGAATTCACTACTTTTCGGCGCTTAATAACTGCCAAAGCACAACGCATGGTGGCCCCATGGGCACTCTGGTACTTACATTGCTGCCTTCAACTGGCAAGCGGCTAACTGCAGGCCCCCACTTACTTGACTGATGCACTGTAATGTAATGTACTCACGGTGCACAGTTAAGAGAAGCACGTGGCAGGCATCACGAACTGACTAATGTAGGCACGGATCCATCCCACCTCATCTTGCGGCCGTTCAGTTAAACCAACCAATCTTTTCTCCTCGGAACAAAATTTGCAGGGCTCGCGCAGCGAAAAAAAATGTGAAACTGTGATTCTGTGAATGATGTTGCTATCTTTGCTCTGCTTTTACATCTGGAGTCAGCGCCTCTGTTACCATGGTATACTCAATCTGGCCCAGAGATAGAGGAACAAGAAAAATGTATGTCAGCATGTAGCTCTGTCTCTAAAAAGCTAGTAGGTAATCTTTTTTTTTTTTAAAAAAAGCTAGTAGTTAAGATCGTTGCCTTGTTGACAACTCGTAAGGGTGACCTGTGAACGTGTGCTGAGATCTTGTTGCCGAGCTTTAGTCTCTCTCTCCACATATATTGTTGAAACATCACAGTCACAGGAGATAGTGACTACTGAATTTGTGGGTGTAAGAACACCAGTCGAGTTGGTCGAGTGGCTTGCCCAGCGAACCATGACATCTACAGAAAACCAGAAACACAACCAGTTAGCAAGACAAATGAAGGGCTACATTACATGGTCAATACGGAAAACTGAAGTGGACAACTTATTTCTGAAACTGAACCAAAGCAAAAAGAGTAAGTCGTCCCAGTATTTTCTATGTAGGTGGACTTTGTAACTTAAATTATACGTCCACAATGATTTTATTCATGGATCTGATGAACCTGGACACTCTTTGAGAAATGTGCTTGGTCAGCACTACCTACCCTCAAAGGCTTCAACAGGAGGTGTGCTTGGCAATGAACATTACTCCCTCCAGCTCAAAATACATGTCACCGCCCTCATTTATACAACACTGCAAACAGATGTCTCATTTATTTGTGAATAACATTTATTTGGCAAGGGCGAGAAAGGAAGGGAAATATAGCTAAAAGTTCTAGGATGACCTGTATTTTGAAAGAAGTTCGGAATCAGAGGGGGTACCTTGTAAAGCAATGTGCCAGCCACATTCATCTTCATTTTGTATAGTGCCTCACTCAGAAATGTTATGAACTTGTAACTGATCCTGAAAAGAATTCCAAATAGATTCCTTCACTCTACCACACATAGATCTTCTGGATGCACAGCCAAGAGATGCAAAGAAATCAAATGATACGACAGCTGATCAACTACTGCATAAATCTCGCTTGAGCTTTCATGTCTAATGTCTTCCACTCCAAATTCATGGATGCTGTTGTTTATTTCAATTGAACTAACAGCCATATCCTTTCTCGTCCCCCACTCTTTCATTAATTTCCTGAGCCTTTTCATGTCTTCCCACTGGTGAGTTTCGTATAACAAGTTTGAAATTAGAACAAACAGACCTCCACTGATGCCCTCCAGTTCAAGTAATTGCTTGATCACTTGCCTGCCAATCTTGACATTCCCATGGATTCTGCAGGCTCCCAGCAATGCACCCCAGACTACAACATCAGGCTTCATTGGCATCTCTTTTATTAGACAAACAGCCTTTTCAAGATGACCACGTCGGCCAAGAAGGTCAACCATGCAAGCATAATGCTCAACTTCATGCTTAACATTGTAAACATGTCTCATAGATTCAAAGTAATGCTGTCCAGTTTCTAGTAGACCCCCATGACTGCATGCAGAAAGAAGGGCCACAAAGGTAATCCCATCTGGCGAGGAGTCTCTTACCATTGACCTGAAGAACGTGATTGTGTCCAATGCACGACCATGCAATGCCAGCCCCCCAATAATAACATTCCAAGAAACTACATTTCTATTACACATTTCACTGAACAGGCTGATTGCTGTGTCTACCTGACCACATTTTGCATACATGTCCAGAAGTGAATTAATTAGAGAGACATCAGGATTATAGATATTGTCTCTAATGTAAAGGTGTACCATCTTCCCTACAGTCAAGTCACCAATTCGCCCACAAGCAGAGAGGACAGCCACTAAGGTAACCTCATCTGGAGCAAGACCCTGGGATTGCATTCGGTTATAAAGATCCAATGCTTCATGGCACTGGCCACGTTGAACATAGCAAGAGATCATGGCATTCCATGAGACTATGTTCCTCTCTGGCATGTGGTCAAACCAGCATCTTGCAGCATCAACTGAACCATGCTTCGTCTGAGCGCAAAGCATGGACGTCCATGAAACGACACTCTTGATGGGCATCATTTCAAAGCACCTACGAGCCATCCACAGATCCCCACACTTACCATACATGTCCACCAAAGCACTTTCAAGAATCAGATCAACCCGAGATCCACTAACCAAGATATGACAATGCACAAGGCGACCAATTTCAAGGTTCTCTTCTTGTGAGCAGGCGAGAAGCAGGCTGGCCAACGTGAACTTATCTTCCAAGAACCCTTGACGCCTCATCTCTCCGAACAAGGCGCACGCCTCTCTAGTATCCCCCGCCTGCGCGTACCCACCGATCATCGAGTTCCACGACACAACATTCCTGCCCGCCATCTCATCAAAGAACCGCCTTGAGTCCCCCAGCGATCCGGCCGACGCATAGGAGTGCAGAAGTGTGTTGCCCACAAACACCTGCCCCACAAGGCCAAGCCTCAGAGCGACACCGTGGACGGCCAGCGCGTACTCCCGCGCCTGCGCTCTCGTGCACGCCTTGACAACAAAGGGCAGAGTGAACTCATTGGGCAGGATCCCTCGCCTGAGCATGCCGCGGTGGAGGCGTAGCGCTTCCTGCGGGCAGTCGCTGTTGCAGTAGGCTCTGATGATGGTATTGTACATGACCCTGCCCGGGTCAGGAATTCCGTCGAACAGACGGCGCGCGTGGCAGAGAGCGCCATGTCCGGTGCTTGCAGAGACCGAGAGGGCGCAGTAAGAGGCGAGGAGGAGATCGGATGCGGCGGACAGGTAGGATCCGTGGACGAGGAGGTGGGCGTGGAGCTGGTTGAGGCGCTGGATGGAGCGGCACTGGCGCAGCAGCTTCTGCAGGGACGGGAGATAGTGGCCGGCGGGCGCGGGCGTAAGCATCGAAAGGCGAGGAGAAGCGACAAAGCAGTTTGCGTTTGTGAGGTGTGGGGAAAACTCCCAGCCCATGGGCCGCGAATGGTTCTTACTGGACCCTGGACCAAAAACTGCTTTACATATCCCGCAAATGGCGAGCGCCAAGCATCACAGGTCACAGGTGCACAGCGCGGGCGGAGCAGCATGAGGCTGTTCGGGAAACACGTGTTCCCGAGGCAGATCGCCCTGTTCGCCGCAGGGTAGGTACCTCCTCCGTCGTTCTCCTATCGATCTCTCCTCAATTGCAGCCGGGCGGCGGCGTCATCGCTGAGGTGCATGCTCGATTGAACATGAACTGCAGGCTGGTGTTCTTTGGGGCGACGACGTACGACGTGCACCGGTCCATCAAGAACAACGAGCAGCCGCCGACCAGGGAGCAGATGGAGGCGCTCCAGGACTACATCAACTCCAAGAAGCGAAGCAGTGAGGCCGGTGAAGAATAAAGATCCGTGCTTTATGCGAAGCTGATACATATTCATCATTTGCTAGGTGTGTATGCTCGCAATAAGATCGGATCAGGTGGGGGCTGAAAACAAGTAGGTGCGTGCTATATGTTCGACGATATTCCCATGAGGATTTCTGGACTGTAAAATGAATCAGTAAATGGTTTCGACGATATTCCCACGAGGAGACCATAAATAAATAGTAAATGGCTGTGTAATTATGAGGCTGTAATTGGGCATGTTTCGAGAGAAGCATGGCGGAGTGCGCGACCCCAGGGTTGGGTGCAACCTGGTGTCCTTGCCACATATCTTGTTTGGATGCACTTATATCCATCTCAATCATGTGTGTTGGAGTGGATTAAGATAAAAATTAGTTTTAAATTCTACCTCAATATACAACACATGTGGATTCAGTTGAATAGGAGTATATCCAAGCAAGCCCACAGCGGGTTTGTGCCGGGGCCAGGGGGCATCGCGCGCGGATCGGACGCCGGCACACGGCGGTGGTGGACGCGGGCAAGCAAACCGAACAGCGAAGAACTATACTATGATATTCGGCCATTTATACATGTAGATACATATCTCACTTATATAACCAATGTATATAATGATAATTATATTAGAAACATCTTAACCGAGTGTAGCACACTTTTTCCTACTATACTACAACTTTATTCATAAAAAGGAGCGGAAGGTAAAATTTATTAAGCATCCCAAAATTCCAACTGATGATGCCTGACCAGACTCTCCAACGATCATGTTCCACCAATCTTGGACATGAACCTTTTCTTTGACCTCAGCTGAAAAATCAGATGGCACAGGTCAGATGAAAGAATGACCAAATGTGCTGATAGTAATAATTGAAGTATGACTGCAGATCAAGTGTGCATAGCAGTAAACTCATCGTCAGTTAAAAGTCTATCTTGCTATATAGATATATACGATGACTGGAAAAGCCAAAAAAAAAATGCGATCGCCTAATATAAAACCAAAAACATGAGACAACAACAACAATGGTTGCCTAATATACGAACAAAGGGGCAAAGCCGTAAAAGTACACTTGGATGACCCATAAACGCGACCAACTATTCTCACGAGTAAATTAATCTGAAAGCATGACGTACTACTCACAGCAGCGATGCCAAAGCAACAACCTTGACAGTAATTCTGAAACAAAGCATTGTATATGACGACTGAACAAAGCCTAAACATTAACATCAACTAAAACCAATGAGCATGAAAGATGATAGTCTATATATAACGATCGAAGTAGTATATAACAAATCAAAAGTTACTGGATGAACACAAGTTAAACTGATGGATGGATTCTCACCGCGTTGGTGTGCCCACACTTCTTCTTGCGGCAGTTGGTTGCCCTAAGAGGAAGCCGTGCATAGCACCTGCAGGAGAAGACGGAGGATCAAAGATCAAAGTTAGGGATCGTATGCGCAGAGAGCTTGGATCAGTACTTGCATTGAACGAAACGATCGAACGGGATCATCAGTAAGTAATAAAGGCGTATATATATACAGTACGTACTTGCGGCAGACCATCTTGTTCTCGTTGTACTTCTGCGCGAGCTCGCGGAGGCTGGGCCCGATCCCCTCGGGGTAGCCGCCCCTGCTGCCGCCGCGGAGGCGCAGCACCAGGTGCAGCGTCGACTCCTTCTGGATGTTGTAGTCGGCCAGGGTGCGGCCGTCGTCCAGCTGCTTCCCCGCGAAGATGAGGCGCTGCTGGTCCGGCGGGATGCCTTCCTTGTCCTGGATCTTCGCCTTCACGTTGTCGATGGTGTCGCTGCTCTCCACCTCCAGCGTGATCGTCTTCCCGTCAGCGTCTTCACGAAGATCTGCATCTTGCTTCCCACGTCGCGTCGTCTCACCCTCCGCTCCTTTCGGTTTTGTGGTGGTACGAGGTTATCGAATCCAGCTATTGACGGAAGGACGTGCTCTATCCCCGCTTTATATGGGGAGGAGGTGACTTGCCGGCTGCGAAATCTACCAGATGGAGATTTCGCGGACAGGAGTGTACATGACTCCTACGAAACTGATGGATTTTTTTTTTTTTTGCTTTTTCAAAATTACTAATACTAATGAGTACTTTTTTTTGAGCAAAATGAGTACTACCCGCCTACTAGTCGTCCCAATAACCAATATGTCAAGCCTCGGAGAATCAGAGGCCCAAGATTTAGTTTGGGCTGATACCATAGTAGATACACATACTCTTTTTGGTTGACACAATTACATTTGGGACTCTTATGTTCTTCCCCATTTATTTAACTTTGTGATTTTGCTCTTCTGTTTCAGAAAGAAAGCAGAGTTTACCCCTATGTATCATTTAGACGAGTTAACATTGCAAGTTCAACTAAAAAAGACTGGTTTTCCCATGGGAATTTGCCCTTACGTTTTTTAGTACTCCTTCCGTTCTAAATTATAAGTCGCTTGGACTTTTTTAGTACATCCACTTTACTATGTATATAGATATAACAATATGTCTAAATACATAGCAAAATCGATGTACCGAAAAAGTTAAAGCGATTTATAATTTGGAATGGAGGGAGTACTATATAACTTTAACATCTATTTTGACATCGAATATTCAGACAACATTTTAAAAGAATTTTTTAGAAATAATGCAAATAATTCAAATTTAAGCAATGTTTAACAAGTTCAACATGCTTAATCACTTTTGATTTTTTTCCTTTTATTTAATTTGTTTATTCGACATTAATCTAACAGAATCTAAAACAGGGGGATGGTGGCTTCAGATTTAAAAATTAAAGGTAAAGGCACAAAGTTGAAAAAACGAGATTAAAATTACAATTGGCCTTCAGAGCAGGGGCAAGAACACCAATCTCCCTTTTATTTTACAACCTACCTTAAATAAACACTTAATGCATTGATAACCTTAATATTTTAGGCCGGATGCAGATCTTGTTATGGCATTGCGTGTGTCTTTTTTTTTTTTGTCCACGTATTTTTGAAATGGATGGACATATATTTTGCCTGCGCAGCATCTTCATCATGGGCCGCAGAGTTAGGCCCATTGAACGACTGTTTGGGCCAACTAATTAGGTTACATGTCCTTTGTGTTTCATTTTCTTGGGCCGGCACTAACGTAACGTCCCTGGCCCAGAAATTTTCTTCTCAGCTAGACAAAACATTTCTTTTCTCAAGGAAAAGAATCAAATCTGGACATGGAAACTCACTCTGCCTCAGGATTCAGATGTGCGTCTCTAGGTGTGCTACTCCTGCCTACTGGTGCACACGAGGCGATTACTATATGCTGCTTCTAAAATCTTATTAAAGAAGCAGCTGGTCTGGTACCACATGGTCCGTTGTTTGTTCCCAGTTGCCACCAACAATGCTTGATGTATTGTTATCCAAAAAAAAATGCGTGATGTGTGGACATGAAAACACGTATGTAGGACGACTAGCAATTAGCAGGAGGACTGCAGGAGGCATATTGCGTATCAGCCGTCCCTTCCACAGGTTCCCTCTCTAAAATATTTTCGGCAACGAGGAATGGAAGGCCAGCATTCCTGCAATTCCTACAGCCAATGCTGTTGCTGCTGTACACAAACAGGCTTCTTCCTTCTCGAGCTATATATTCCTTGACCTTCCTACATTCCTACTACTGCTACACAAAACACAATGCTCGGCCGACGGTTGGCGAGACTCTGACCATACGCACAGCCAACAGATTGGCATATTGTTAGATAACGTAAAATAAAACATGGAAAGGATGTGAAAAAGATCCGGTTGCTTTCAACCACACAAGCATAAACAATCTCCGGTTTCCTCTGGGACAAAGAGTACATCCAGGCAAACGGCATTTAGCACTTATCAAACTCCTCAGTCTCTGTGCTGAATAAACTAGAGCCTGGGACTGGGAGAAAGAAGCACGCAAGGTTATCTCAAGATCCGTCTGATGAGCTGATGCAGCCTGCGACGTGGCATTTCACTGGAATTTTGGGCTAAATAAGTACGTTTAGATTTCAACAGGATCTTGTAGACACGGACTGATGAGCGGAAACTTTTACTTGCAACAGCTGACGCCGCAGGCATGGCTGTTCCGTGTCCGTAGGGAGAACACCTGCACAGGCATATCTTTGGTGAGCTCATGCTATGATCCTTCTTCACAGTGGCAAATGGTGCCATCTGTGGTACTCCCTAAGGCCATCAGGAATTTGAAATTTTCTTTGGGCTACCAAACCTTACAGCTCTGCGACTAAAGATTGTATCTTTTTTTTTACAGAATTATTTAGATCCATTTTCTGTAATCCAGCAGCTATCAGTTTAGCACACTTAAGTCCGGTTTGTTTAGACATAACTTCTTCACCAGCTTCATGAGTTGTTTGAAGTTGTTTTTGTGTCAAACAAATCTTTTTTGCAAAATAGCTCCACACGTGAACCTCCTCAAAACATGCTCTCACATATGGTAAATGGGAGATGAAGTTAAAAATAGTGGCTTCTCCCAGCTCACACTCACACCAGTGGGAACCAGCACACGCATAGGCCGCATTTGCCCCTACGCAGGGAGGGAGTGCGCGGGCTCGGCCACCGGGGGCGTGGGCGCAGCAGTCAGAGCACGTGGCTGCCGGGGCTCGCTGTCGCTTGCGGGCGCACTGGCATGTCGGGACTCGGAAAGAAAGATACGAGGAAGAAAGGATTTGGGAAGAAAGAGAGGCCGTAGAGAAGGAGATGAGTAAGAAAGAGAGACCATGGGAAAGAGCATTATGGTCATTTTAATCTTTATTTTGTATCACGAGAAGTTGTTTTGTCAAATGTTCATCAAGACAAGGTCAATGTTATTAATAGAGCTGCTCGAGAGAAGAAGAAGAAAAAAAAATTGTTTCACTAGTGAAGTTCGAGCAGTGATTGACTGCATGGCATGGCACAACATTACTAATTAGGCCAATCAAGGTAGCTACAGAAACATACTCTGTATGCAAGAAGGTTACCCACTATCTTATTTCACTTTTACTCTTTAGTATACACATATATGATACATCCAGTGCTTGTAGTACATGGCTAAACTCGGAGTACAAGTATCTAACACCGACCACCACCACATGCCAACCATGTACTACTATTGATGCATGTGGCCTGACCAGAAATTTGTACATCATATCATTCACTGCTGAGAAGTGCTTGCAGAAATTTGTACCGAACGTGACAGAGAACGTTCTATGTTAGGCTGGAGTAGTGTCTCTGTCTCTCAGCCTGCACCAGTGATATCAGGTACGCCTTGGGCAGCGCCATCAGCTTCTTCGTCTTTGGAACGTAGGCCCTCCTGGTGAAGTTGTTGTAGTCGTTCGCCTCGATCTCGTCGAGGATTTGCTGGTACAGGAGCAGAGAAGCCCACACCTGAAACAGCAGTTGCAGCATGCAGGCTGTTCAATCATCTGAATTCTGAAGCCAGGCAAGTAAAGATGGTGATGTGTGAAGTGTGATGTGTGCGTCTCAGCTAGTCTCACCGGCCATCGGCTCTCCTGATTGAGCTCGGTGGCGCCTTCCTCGGCCTGCCTGAAGAAGGCTCTGGCCCTGGTGATCTGGCCCCTCATGAAGCTTCGCCACTCGTCGGTGACGCGGCCGTCCAAGATGTCGGCGTCGGAGAGCCCCGCCATCTCCAGTTCGTCCTGTGGGAGATAGATCCTTCCCTTCTGGCGCTGTTATTTGTTGGCACACGTGAAGCACACGCATGTAAGTATTGTAGGCAATATATATGGGCGAGGACGGACGCTGACATTGGAGATGACGTACTCCTCGCCGACGTCCCTGAGGATGTTGGTGAGCTGGTTGGCCAGGCCCAGCGCCAGCGCCCCCTTGTAGACCGTCTCGGTGGCCGCCCTCGAGTCCGGCGAGATGCCCATCACCGGGACGCTCATCAGCCCCACGGTGCCGGCCACGTAGTAGCAGTAGAGGTACAGCTCGTCGAAGCTCCGGTACCGGGACTTCTTCAGGTCCATGCGCATCCCCTCGATCATGTCCCTGAACGGCTGTATGTCGACGGGGAAGTTGGCGACGGTGTCGGACAGGGCGGCGTCGAGCATGTCGTACGGGCGGCCGGCGAAGATGTCCTCCAGCCGCGACTCCCACCGGTCCAGCGCCACCGCCGAGATGTGGGACGCGTTGGGCCCGTCAACCAGCTCGTCCGTTCTCCTGCACCACACTGAACACGCGCGCAAACAGATGGAACACCACGTCAGCGATCCATCACTGTCATCCCTTCCCTACTGGTCAATCATCAAGGAAAAATCATCGTGCTGGTGCATAAACTAATCTCTAGCTCATCAGAGTGTAAACATTTTTTACTGCATGCTTAGCCATACGGTAGGTATGAACTGGATTTTGGGTGACAGCATCAGCAAGTATCGTTTCTGCATGTCCTATGCTGCAACAAGTCGTCGTCTAAAGGCGGTTTACTGTTTTACTACCATTCAGAAAACGAAAGGAACCTTTTGCGCCGACTGTCAGGTGTCAACTGCAGACGGTACAAGAAACAGGGACATGCGGGGTTTGGTCTGCTTGCTTGCTTACCGTATATTGCCCAGATTGCCCTCCTCCGCTCCGGCGTCATCAGCTGCGTCGCTGCAACAGAAGAACAGCGGCATCTCATCAGATCAGAGATTCAGAGGTCAGGCACATGCATGTGCGCACTGATTGTCGAAGCTGACTGGTCGGTATTCGGTATGTGGTGTCCACAACTACAACTACTGGCAAAATAGTCATTGTTCCTGATGTAGTATGATTAACATCTCAATGCATGCGTCCAAGATCGAGTTCATACTCATGTGGAAAGTCATCTCTACTTTTCATGAGCATGCTGTCAATTTTTTACAATCATTGTCATAGTTAATCAAATTAAATATACTAGCCGGTGCAGTAAGCAAATTGGAAAAGGCAGGTGTTGGACTCGGACGGTCGGTTCAGGCTTCTTTCGACCAAGGATATGTATGACTGAGATTTTCATCCTTTTCCTATTGTCCTTTTTAGGACAAAAAGTTTGTTTTTTTTACTTTGTTTATTAAACAGCTTGCAAGAAAAACACACCAGTACTTGTGACACATGCATGTGCCTCGATCACGGCAAAACCTTTGTGGCTAGGGCGGTCATGCCTAACCTTCAGTAAACTATGCCTGCTAAAAAAAGTGTGGCGACTAAAATTGAAGCCACACTTATGATAAGGTTTGGTACGAAAATAAGTCTATAACATATGAGGCAGGGGTTAAAAAAGTATGACATGACATAGGTATGACAGAGCTGTCAAAGAAATTATGGCACGACAAACCTTTGACATAATAGGTTTTGATCACCAACCAAACAGACCCTTAGTTATTAAACTAGGAGTACTCTTAAACTAGACTCTATTCAGATGAAAAGAGGAGTAGCGGGAATTTTGATCTCGTTTACCCAGGTAGAATGTCTTGGCGTACTCCTGGCAGACCTCCCCGCAGCGGTGGAAGGCCGCCTTGAGCCCGCCGTCCATGGGCACGGGCTCGATCCGCGCCGTCCTCGGCGCCGCGGCCGCGAGCGCCGCCTGCTTGAGCACGACATCGTGCACCCTCTGCTCGGACGGCACGGCCAGCGCGTCGTCCCCGGGCGCCGGCGCCGCCACATGGAGTCCTCGCAGCGGCAGTGCCGGCGCGGGCGCGGCGGCGCCCCACGGCTCGGCCTCGAGGCAGCCAATGGTGTTGGAGGAGCCCGCGGCGCGCACGGAGCACGGCGCCACGCCGCGGCCTCCTCGCCACAGCCTCCCGTGCCTGGCCGAGAGCGTCGCCGTGTGGGTCGGCGCGTCCACGGGCCACCGAGCCGCGCACGCCGGCGACTTCACCGCGTGGCTAGTGGACATCATGGCTGGCTGACACGCGGCGATGGCGGATATATGGAGCGGAGGAAGGTGGTGACCAGGCCGAGCTATATAGAGAGGGATCGAGAGAGCAGAGGCGGGCGGGGTCTGGAGGCTGGAGGCTGGAGGTGAGAGACTGAGAGGTGACAGAGTGAGTGAGGCCAGCAGGCGACAGGGCTCCCGTCAGTTTTGTCCGTTGCCTGCAGGACACTGGCCGAGTACTAACGCCTTGTTTAGATGGTCTCCAAAATCCAAATTTTTTCACTCTTTCTTCGTCACATCAATTTTTAGCCGTTTGCATAGAGTATTAAATATAGATAAAAAAAATAACTAATTACACAGTTTAGTTGAAAATCACGAGATGAATCTTTTGAGCCTAGTTGGTCCACGATTGGACAATATTTGTCAAATAAAACGAAAGTTGTACTATTCATCAGGTTTACTTTTTTTTTTTGCAAAGTGAACGAGGCCTAAAACACAAAACTAGCCCTCTCCCCTGTGGCAGGTGACCGGCCACTGGTTTTCGGATTCCAAACCGCGAGTTCCAAAGCGGCGAGATGGCAGAGCCAGACTTCGGGGCGGCTCCCGTGTTGGCCGCGCGCGCGGGAGGAGTGGAGGACACCCCCAACCCACGAGCCTCTCTACTCTCTAGCTAGCCGAGATCGATCGAGGAGCACGGATGACAACCACAGCTGCGTGCACTCTCAAGCTCAAGCTACTCCACGTCTCCACGCACGCCCAAGGCATGGCGGGCCTTTTGTAACGCGGAATTGGGGAGCCGCGAGGCCAGGTGGCGGGCGTTGGCAGGGGGTGTTCCTGTACAGGAGGAGGAGGACGCTCTTCGCCGTTCCGTGGTTCACTGGTTCGTGAAAGTGGCAGGTGAGGCATTTCGCCCGGCACTAGCAGGCCGCATGGCATTCGCAACCAGACAAAACGGCGCGCGTGGAAAGGTTCAGACGGTGTCCTGGTGGAGATGGCAACTCCGTTTTCGTATGTTGGCAGATGACTTGTGTCATTGTGTGATGTGCTGTGGTGAGTCACACGGCAGAAGTGGTTTCGCTTATCTGGCGAAACCATGCTACTCCAGTCTCCTGTACTAGAGAGCAAGCATCACAAAACCATTCTGCTAAAGCAGTGCGTAATAGAAGTACTCCTTACTAAGTATCCTAATAAACATCACGCGTGTGATCTCTCTGGTCTAAGTCAACGATGTATTCGAGTATCCCGCCGACCATGGTCTCTCTCCGGTACCCGCGTGTCACGAGGCACGCCCGGGCGCGTCGCGCACCGTACGCGGAGCGCCCACCCCGCACCCGTGGGCCAAGGGCCATGGCCGGTCCGAATCCGCCGCACGCACATGGCCATCAGGTCACGGAGACGACGAGACCGGTACCGGTACCCAGGCACAGGCAGGCAGCGCGCCGGAAGGGACACGTGGTGGGGCGCGCGATCGTGGCAGGCCTCGCCAGTCCTCGGCCTGTCGGCATGTGGGAACGGCGCGACCGACAGGAGGAGTAGCCGGTGGGGCCTCCTGCACCCCGCCCGCCCGGTGTGGCTCCGTGTCATTCAGTCCCTGCTGGGTTCCGGCTCCTAAATTTAGCTCCTAAATATTTTACTAAGGGCGTGTTTGGGACTGCTCCGCTCCACATTTTTTAGCCAAACGGTTTCAGCTCCACGCACTCTGCTCCAGGAAAAAGGATGGAGTTGTGAGAGCACCTAAAGAGGTACTCCACAAACTCCAGTTTTTTGTGGAGCTGCTCTACGATGGAGTTTGTGGAGCAGAGTTTGTGGAGCAGTCCCAAACACCCCCTAAATATTTTAGGTAGCCTTCTAGAAGTTTTAAAAAACTGTTCGATTTCAATGACTAAAATCGACTAAAGGCAATAAATACTGTTGGAAAGGACCATGATGCCCTTCTTCCCTCTACCCCTGCTCTCTTCTCCCTCTCTGTGTCTTTCTTCTTCCTCCAGCACAAGAAGAACCGAACGAGCTCCTCCCACCCGCCGGCCAAATCCACCGCCCCTGCCCCGCCATTTCCAAATCACCGCCGCCCAAACCTGCCTCGCCTGCCCAGCTACCTCCTCCACCTCTCCTTGCCCTGCGCCATGGCAGGCGGGCCCCTGGGCGCGGGGCGGCAACGGCGGGATTAGCATCCGGAGTCGGACGCGAGGGAGTGGGGGCGGCGGATCTGGCGGGCGCCGGTGTGGAGGAGGGAGGGAGCGGGGGCGGCGGCGTTAGGGACGTGGGTGCGAGGGCGTGGGGAAGCGTGCGGTCAGGAGGGGTACCCCAGGTCCATGATGGACTTTATGAGCTTTTAGGAAGAGGTGAAGCTCCTAAAGTTTTTGGTCACTTCTAAAGTTTTTAGAAGCTTTTAGGAGGAAATGTTTGATTCTTTAGGTAAATTTTATCCAGATTTTAGCTCCTAAAGTTTTTATAGGAGAGGTAACCAAACAGGGCCTCACTCGTTCTCCCTCCCTTTCTTCCCACCCGGACTGGTGATGGTGGCCGTCGTTGTTGCGTTCCGCCGTCCGCGGCCCTCCGCCCAGTCCACTCCAGTTGCTGCTGGTGTGCGTGCTGGCGTCGGGGCACCCAACGACCCAGCCGGTGGCGCCTTGCCGGCTTGCCTTGCTCCGCGCGCACGGCAATGCCAATGCCCAATGCAGAAGCTGTGCCCTGTGGGCTGTGCCAGTGCGTGCGTGCGTGCGTGAGCCGTGAGCGAGAGAGGCGCCGCGCAAGCGCGACCCAGTTGGTAGGACGCGCGTTTGCCCACGTATCGGACGGCGGGACGGGACGGCGACCTGACCCGGTGTCGGGGCGGCCGGGCGGGCGGTGGTCGCTGTCGGCTCGTCCTGGCGCCTCGGTCAGCGCTGGCTCGGCGGTGCAAGCGACAGGATCGCAGGATATATAACGCGAGTGCGACCGCAACTTTGCACGGTCGGCAGGATACGTGCCTACTACTACTGCCTAGAGTAGTGCGGTTTGCTGTGTCGTGTGCAGTGCTGGTGTTCGGTCACCGGTCGGTCGTACGCGGGATCGATGGACCACGAGACCATGCAAAAAAGGGGCATTTCCACTGATTGGAGCACCCATTTCTTTTCAAGGCGCCACTCCAGTGGCGAGCTGACATTTACCAGAGCTAGCTCTCTTTCTTTCTTTCCTTTCTTCGCAGCAACCGGTGCTACGTAACGTAGTAGTAGCTTTCTATCCATCCGTCCATACGGGAGAGGTGCACGCGTCGAGGTGATGTGGTGAAGGACGTCGTAGTGCGCCAGTCGGGCAATTCACTCACGTGACATTTGTTTATGTCTTTTACTAGCAAGTGAGACCATACTGTAGATTGCCTTGCGGGCCCAAGGCCCCAAGGAACAACAACAACGACTGAACTGGCTTTCTACCCACTAGGCAACGACTGCTGAATCTGGAAATCCGATGTGAAGACGAGGCGCACAAGAGGCTCATGAGCTTCATTTTACAGGACAGGAGAACATTCTAAGCAAACCGCTGTCAAACGCAAGGAAGCTCCAGTCCGGGTGAGCAGCGAGCCAGCGACAGAGCACCGTGGCACTGCCGGATTGTACGTAAATTCAATTTTCTTTCGGGGCCAGGGAACACACAGTGACACAGATGAAGGTTGGCGCAAAGGGACAAATGACCGGATTGTCAGGGGAGATGAAAACAAACTGCATCCTCATAGAGTCGCGGGCTCCAGGAAGCGATAGCACGCAAGAGAGACCTGGAACCACTTGAAACGTGACTAGACTCTAGAGATAAATTTTCTTTTCTCATGCAGGCGTATCTCGGGGCTACTCGGCAATATCCCCGGCCCTCCGTTGCTTACTCAGATTTTGGAACAGCAAGACAGTGGATGGAATGAATGTGGTAGATGCTCGTACCGTCCAGATCAAGAAGGCGGGTAGCACTTGAGCTCCTAAGCTGTCCACCCAGAACAATTGAATAAACTCTAGTCAAGTATAATTCAAGAGTTCCTTTCACTCACATTACCAAAAAGAAGGTGTCGTTGTCTGCACAGACGATTTGCCTCTCACTGACTGAAACACCCAAACTTCTCTCCAACTAAACAGAATAACATACCTTCAGGGTTCCATTAGCATTCATCTGATTCCGATCATCCAAGCCGTGAACCAACTGCACTGCATGCCAAACTGAAAGAGAAACAGCAGCGCTCAATCTACGCAATGATAGCAGCTCTTTGACCTTCTGTTACACCACCTTTTTCATGATGATTCCTACATGAAGCTTAAAATTATTGGATGCCGACATTGATTGAGCAACACGAAATGAGTAAACTCGGCCAAGATATTATTATTTAAACAATAACGGGTAGATGATACTGATGCAAACATTTAAAAAGGGGAAAGGATACAATTTGGGCCCACATTTGTGGAAACTCAAGCACTCAGTTGGAAATAAGGAGCACGGCCACGAGAGCTTGTTCATCCATGTACAGACCACCCTAATCTGGGAAGAAAATATCTAGGGGTTATCAATGGAATTAATCAAACACACTTCACGTTCAGGTACAGTTGGGTAGCTGTTCCCAGCTTGGTACATCAGCCGTATGAACAAAAGCCTCCTCCTCCCATACTTCTAGTGGTATTTACTGAAATGGCTACAGTCTGCCCCTTTGAAATTAGGCATCAAAACTTCAACAGTGCTTCCAACAGGCACCTATTTACGACTTTCAAGACTGAAAATTGAACGACTTCGTGTACAGTGGAGAGGCTCCGAACCAGAGTGCCTTGCAACATCTGAGATTTTGAAGCGTAACCCCCTACCATGTGAGAAGCGAAGTTTTAGAAATATCTGGAAAAATATATTTAGATCTGAACCTTATTTCTCCATTTTAGTTCTGTCAATAAGTACACCATCAGCCCAAACTTCAATCCACCTGTAATCATGATCAATGATGAAGTCAAGTCCCCCTTTTCGGTCAAAAGAATATACAGATCATGTAATGTACTCTTTCTGGAACATATGGAACAAAATACCCAAGAGAAACCTTGATCCATTTGCACCTACCAACAGGCTCTCCCCATGGCGCCATCCATTTTGGAAATGGCCAAAGAAGATACTCCCATCATTGGCATAAAATCTACCCTCGCCATTAGCCTTCCCCTTCCAAAAATTTGCAAACCAGCGGTCACCGCTATGAAAATAGTACCAGCCCTAGATTGGGGGTCGGGGGTAAGTCAATAAATTGGACCTTTTTTCGTCAAACAGAAAGTAAATCACATGGAGTGTAAAGAGTGTTACATTGTCCAACTTGATACAAAATAAATGTTCAGAATTTGCAGCTTGAATAAGTTAAGGTGCTTGGATATTTCATGGCTGGATTACAATCAAGAATTCAAGACAAACGGTCTTTATATAAAAGATGCCAAATAAAAAAAAAATCCTGAAGAAATAGCCCTAAGCACATGGCAATCATGCTTAACAGGTATATAAATTAACAGTAAATCTGAAAAGCAGTCTGCTAGTGTTTCCATTTCACAGCTGCGATATAAAAGTAGATGAAAGCGACTGTAACATACTGCCATACCTTTCCATGAATAAGGTCATCCCTCCATGTCCCATGATATACATCACCGTTACTGTGAAATAGAGTCCCCAAACCAGATCTCTTACCATACCTCCAGAGTCCATCATAAAAGCTTCCATCACTGAAGGTTAGACGTCCCTGTAATGTTTAGCAAGGTAAGATTGTTGAATTTGCCAGATAAGTTGGATAGAACATGTGATCCGATTTCACCTTTCCTTCAGGGACACCTTCTTGGCATCTACCTCTATAAGTTCCCCCTCCATAACATATTTCAACTATGGGGCTCCATGTCTTTTCTGGTTCTCTTTCTGCATCCTACAAGGAAACTGATGGATTACAGAATCTAAGGCCCATAGAACATGCAGATTCATAACAAAGAGACACAAGTGTTTTCCAAATTCTGGATGAAATGAAACTTTTTTTTCCTCCAGAAAAGTAGAAACAGAAAAACAGCACTAACGACAAAGTTAAATCTTGAGCAAATTGTGTTTGCATTGACATCATGTGAGGATTTTTATCACACCAGAAAAAAGGAGTTAACAGAAGACACCTTGATAAAACATCTAAGTAGTACATAACACCCTAGATGCACAAATGTAACTGAATGGAAAACCCATCTTAATACCACAAGAAAAGGGAGCTACTGAGCTAGCTAAGCACATGGAATGGATGAGGGAGGCTGCAAAACATTATGAGTAGCTCCAGAGGAAACTACGAGGATGATTTTGGTGCACAGTTATCCATTTTTGGATTAGTAAACTGTGCCTTCTTCGTCAACCTATATGGAATCTGAAATCCAAATAAACAACAAAAAACCTCCTTACCTTTGAATGTAATAAACAAGGAAAAAAACAATATGTTGCACTTTTCTAAGTTGATATGATCTGGGCAAGCTAACTACTTCCCCTTTGTGTCCAAACAAGGAATGGAGCTTATAACAAACTGTGTCAGCATGACATTCAAGATAAGTATGCAGGAGAGAGAGAGAAACTAACGAGCATCAGGGCAGCCCGGCTGGATATTGAGTTTGAGCCACGCTTTCGAGACCTATCCATTCTATTCCTCAGAAATGTGACTGCAGAACTACACACGCCCATTACTTTCTCCAAACGAACATCAGAAAATGGTACTCCAAAGGCAGCATGTCCAGTAGCAACAGTTGTGTCAGCACCAAGAGTTTCAGGCTGCGTATTTGGAGAATGATCAGACTGAACTTTGCTAAGTTTTACACCAACAGGATGAGCGACAATATCAAGCTTATCATTTTTACTGCTTCCACTTGCCATCGCATGCTGTTTAGCCCACAGTTGTGCAATATCAAAACCAGGGGAGTTGCTCAAGAAACGATGTTCCTGCTGTGAAACTAAATGCTCTGTCAATGAAACTTAAGTTAGAAAAGCACATGCAAACAAAACAAAGGACGTGGTGCACACAAACAATTTTACCTCTGTTATCGTCTTTGCTCATTTCTCCAGTAACTGCCAAATTACCTTCCAGAGATTCTGGCTTTATTCTCTCATTCCTGTCATTACTGCCTCTAAGACAGAATTGCAGTGGACATGCTTGGTCATAACAATAATTTTTTTTTAAAAAAAAAAGGAACTAGCTTTCCTGGGACAAAAGGAAAGAAGCCAAGTCCGTAAGTTACCTCACAGATTCCAAATCCTCAAATTCTTCAGGAAATAATTTGGAAACAGTAGCATCAGATGACCAATTAGAAAGTTGTGAGAATTCGTCTTGTTCTACAGAATTAGATCTGTTGTCAGGCAGATGATTAAAGGAATGCTTAGACCTAATTTGTTTCTGCTCAGGGATATCTCCTCCCATAAGAGAGGATATAAAAGGAAAATGCAAGGCCAAATTTGAAAGAAAGCCCTCTTGTACTGTGGAAACACTTTCATCATAATGGTTTCTGTAAAAAAAAAATATTGCAGCACATAATCAACCACTAATATCACAATTGTCACCAATGGGTGAGTAAAGAAAAACTGTATAAGTTAATTTTCTATGCATAATACAACAACAATAATAACAAAGGCTTTAAGTCCCAAACAAGTTGGGATAGGCTAGAGTTGAAACCCAGCAGAAGCAATTAAGCATCAGGCACGTGAATAGTTGTTTTCCAAGCACTCCTATCTAAGGCTAAGTCTTTGGATATATTCCATCCTTTCAAGTCTCCTTTTACTGCCTCTACCCAAGTCAACTTCGGTCTTCTTCTGCCTCTCTTCACGTTAATATCTTGGCTTAGGATTCCACCACGCACCGGTGCCTCTGGAGGTCTCCGTTGAACATGTCCAAACCATCTCAACCGGTGTTGGATAAGCTTTTCTTCAATTGGTGCTACCCCTAATCTAACACGTATATCATCGTTCCGAACTCGATCCCTTCTTGTATGACCGCAAATCCAACGCAACATACGCATTTCCGCGACACTTATCTGTGGAACATGTCGTCTTTTCGTAGGCCAACATTCTGCACCATATAACATAGCAGGTCTAATCGCCGTCCTATAAAACTTGCCTTTTAGCTTCTGTAGTACCCTTTTGTCACATAGGACACCAGATGCTTGGCGCCACTTCATCCACCCTGCTTTGATTCTATGGCTAACATCTTCATCAATATCTCCGTCTCTCTGTAGCAATGATCATAAATATCAAAAGGTATCATTCCTAGGCACTACTTGACCTTCCAAACTAATATCTTCCTAATCCCGAGGAGTAGTGCCGAAGTCACATCTCATATACTCAGTTTTAGTTCTACTGAGTCTAAAATCTTTGGACTCCAAAGTCTCCCTCCATAACTCCAGTTTCTGATTCACTCCTGTCCGGCTTTCATCAACTAGCACTACATCGTCTGCGAAAAGCATACACCAAGGGATGTCCCCTTGTATGTTCCTTGTGACCTCATCCATCACTAAGGCAAACAGATAAGGGCTCAAAGTTGACCCTTGATGTAGTCATATCCTAATCGAAAAGTCATCCGTGTCTCCATCACTTGTTCAAACACTAGTCACAACATTGTTGTACATGTCCTTAATGAGCCTGACGTACTTCGTTGGGACTTTATGTTTGTCCAAAACCCACCACATAATATTCCTTAGTATTTTATCATAAGCCTTCTGCAAGTCAATAAAAACCATGTGTAGATCCTTCTTCTCCCTATACCGCTCCATAACTTGTCTTATTAAGAAAATGGCTTCCATGGTTGATCTTCCGGGCATGAAACCAAATTGGTTCATAGAGACCCGCGTTATTGCTCTCAAGCGATGCTCGATAACTTTCTCCCATAGCTTCATAGTATGGCTCATCAACTTAATTCCCCGGTAATTAGTACAACTTTGAATATCCCCTTTATTCTTGTAGATCGGTACCAATATACTTCTCTTCCACTCGTCAGGCATATTGTTCGATCGAAAAATATGGTTGAACAGCTTGGTTAGCTATACTATAGCTATGTCTCCGAGGCATCTCCACACCTCGATTGGGATACTATCCGGTCCCATCGCCTTACCTCCTTTCATCCTTTTCAACGCCTCTCTGACCTCAGATTCTTGGATTCTCCGCACTGACCTAGCACAAATTCAAATCTCATCATTGAGTAAAATGTAGTAATATTTGCGCAGCTATTTTTTCGACTACATATGCTGCTAGACTAGTCTATAGTGATATTTATTAACACTACAATCACATAAAAAGCTGAAATCCGTAACATCATGAGACCACATCAGAAAGAAATGAGAGTCACACTGTATTTTGCACATATCTGTTTAAATATAGAAAGTACCAACTGATGAAAAAAGTAATCAATTAATGGTTCTTTCAAATATACCCTTATTAAAGAAAACAATGAGAAATTGAAGGTCCTCCAATAAAATGGCAGGACAATCTTTTAACCATGAAAAGTGGAAAAGGCATCAGATACCACAACTATAAAGACTTCACTAAGAGCCTGTTTGGATCCCCAGATCTAAAGTTTAGAGCTCTAAAAACTTTTGAGCACGTTTGAAGTTTGCTAATCAAATCAGCTGCCTGCAGAAGACGAAATTAATAGTAAATTATAAGAACTTATGCATCTTTTAAGCAACCTGCACACACAAAGTTCACTGTTCGTGGAAAAGAAGAAAAATTACTGCAGAAGTTTTTTTTACCTCTACTTGCCTTCTTTGTCCCTCAAAGCAGAAGGGCTTCAAAAATATTGATGCAGCCAGATTACCAGCAGATTTGACAGCGCTAAGAAGCTCCATTGCAGTAATATGATCAGCATCTTGTCCCACACTAGAAACCTAAATTTAAAAGTCATAGCAAAATATGCGGTCAGATCTCAGTCCCAAATGACAAAAATCAATTGTAGCATGTGTTTCATTAACATTATACAACAGAGTGGTAAGGGATATAGCACAATATCTAAGCACACTCAATATCCTAAGGCCAAACAGTATGAGAGCAACATATGGTATCAAAAAGAAAGATGAGAAGTGCACAAACAAGAATAACCACCGGCGGGCACAGATGAAGAAATAAGGGAGGTTCCAAGTCTCTGAACACTGCATCTGAAAAACAGAGAGATGTCAGTTTCATGCTAAAGATAGTAGATAGAGAATGAAAACCACAAAACCATGTACGCATAAAAAACGTTGAATCAACTCAAGAAGTTGAGTCCATGAAAGATGCAGTACCAGTTCCATGACCTTTTTGTATTAACTGAACTTTAGAATTATCAATCACATGTACTGTCCTGAAACAAAATTCAGAGATGGTTTAAATTTTTTTAAAGAATAAAACAAGAAGATAAATGCAAAAACAACCAAGAGTAGCAAACATGCACTTCATTTGAAAATGCAAAGCTTATACTCAACAGAATAAGGGATCTGTCCTAGCAGATTAATCTTCTTATGTGTCAATGGGTAATCATAGCTATATAATCAAAGAGATATTAATACAGAGAAATTGCACAGTACACTGAATTTGTTGTGAAAATAGATCAATGTACTCTTTCAAGAATTCGTTACATTGAATTAGGAAATGCAAGTACATCAAGCGACAAGGTACAAGATGCAGTCCTTAATTAGCTCACGAATTAACATATTAGTATCCAAATATTTCATGCTTCTGTTTCACACTTTAGAAGTATTTACTATTTAGTGCACAGGAGACAACTCTAACTCCTACTGCAGTCTGCACTCTGCAGAATTGTAAAGGAACCAATGTTCCACCACACTAAATAGTGTGTAAGAATGCACTAGGAAATGGGCCATGGGTTAGTTCACTAAGGCATTTGCTTGCAATTTCGGTGATTCCATCAAAGAAAAAAGGTTACCATATGCTGCAGGAAGGTTCTTTGTACTATGACTACAAAAAAAATAACCAATTAAATCTCATAGACAACTCCCTGCTCTCCCCAATATTAATCTGGTAAGCAGAAAATCTTCAAATTCACAATGTCGAATAACATGTTAGGTTAATACTTGGTGAAGTAATGATTATAGTAACAAAAAAACTGATGGTAAGCAAAAATCACCAAAATCACAGCAGGGTAATATTATGCCACTCTGTTTGGCCGAAAGCACTACGGGAAGGCAAATTGCAAACTACATATTTCCAAAAAAATATTGTAGCATCATGGAGGAACACACATTGATGATTCCACGTTAAATTTCACCGGTGGAAATCAAAGTCAGACACTAAATTAACTTCGGCAATTGATCAATTCGCTTAGATGGGGTTCCAATTCTACAAATCACGAGTCCCCTGAACAACACTGGGCACGCCAAGGTGGTCTGAAGGCCAAAAACGAGGTCCGCATCGCGTACACCGCCAGACAATGCAGTGTTGGAGTTAAGGAATTCGATGTCGGTTCCGTACCAGAAGCGGATGGGGGTGGAGGACAGCGTGCGTGAGCCCAGGCAGAAGTCAATGACGGCGTCCTTCCGGCTGCCTACGCCGACCACCTCCACGGGCTCCGTCGCCCGCGAAGCACCCTCCGCCGCCGCCGCCGCGCGAACTCCGGGGGCGCGGCGCCGGCTGCAGCTGCTGCGGCCCCGCAAGGACATGCGGGGGTACGCGACGGGCGACGGGAGCGGGAGGGCCCGGACGGGAGCCGCCATTGGCGACGAAAGTGTGTAGGCGCCTAGGCGGCACGGGCAGTGAACGAGACTCTGACTGTGAGAGGGAGGAAGCCGCGGTTTAACGGCATCTTGCCGTCAGCTACTGCCGCCGGTGGCAGAGAAGTGCTGCAGCCTGCAGGCGAAGGGCGACTTGGAGCTGGGTTGGGCCTACATGAGAGTCCAATGACCGTCTACGTTACTTACCTCCGTTTTCGTTTACTTTGTTACCGAATTTTTACTGTAGCGATTTTGACCATATATTTTTTTCTGCAAAAATTTTTTTAGATACATCAAGTTTTCACATATATAATTCTTTATTGAACATACTTCATTAGTGTTATATACATTGAAGTATCTAAGATTTTTTAGAAGAAAAAATAAATGATCAAATTTACTACAGTAAAAAGTTGCTGACAAGTAAACACAAACGGAGGGAAGTACTATGTAAGCTAAAGAAAAAGAAAAGAAAAGAAGAAACTGAAAGAAGAAAAAATTTAGCAAGAAAACTGGGACAGCCCCAATACCATGGCCTCAGGGATGATCTGCTAAATGGAATTAGATATCATAGTTAGGGCCTGTTTGCCAGGGACGGGACGGGGCCACGCCAGCGCCCACCGGTGCTAGGGATGGGGCCGTGCCCAGATCCAAACACTAGGAGGGAGAGAAACGACCGAAGATGGTCTGGCCGCGCTGAGCTTGAGCTCGGGCGGCAATGGTGGTACGGCGACGAAAACCGGCCCGAGGGGCCTCAACCCTAGACGAGCGACGGCGCAAACCGGTGGGGGGAAGGAGGGAGTCAAGGCGGAGCTGTGTGGCCGGTGGAGCTCGTGCGGGAGGCAATGGCATGTGCGCCTAGGAGATGGCAGAGAAGGAGAGTGAGAGCGAGCAAGTGGGAGAGAGAGATGCATCGCTGGCCGAGCCTGCTTGCGGTGGAGAGGGGCGCCGCCGGAGGGGAGAGGGCTGCCGAAGGGGAGATGCGTCGCTGGCCCGAGCTTGCTTGCGGAGGAGCGACGTGTAACACCCTCAGTGTTACACCGTTAATCATCTACTAAAACGTGTCATGAGCATCATATTTGTGTGTTAATGCATGTGGTGAAATGAGTAGGTGAATTGTCGTAACGTAGAAGGATCAATAAAATGTTAATCGGGAAGTTATTCCATGATTCGCGTAATTATCAAGTAGGGTTGTAAACCAATTTTTATTGAACAAAAATAATATAGAACATATATGCAACACTTAAATAAAGTTGGAAGTACAAACTTTGTAGATGACAATGAAATACTTGGTGTTGATAAATAATGTTGCTAGCTTATATTTCTAAGGGTTTGGAAAGGCAACTAGGAATAGAAAGTCATTCAACACTTAGAAGATTTCATGAACTTTTGGTGAGCTAGACATTGCGATGTTTGGTAATTTTGTAAGGCAATCTGGTTAAGAAGTAGGGTAGTGTTACGGGTAGTTTTAGTGACCTAATGTACCCTCTAGGTGATGGCATATGTGGTTTTGGAATGGGATCAACGGTTTAGTTTTTGTGAACACTTTAAAAAGCGTGCACGTCACGTCTTCGGTCGTTTCCCTCGCGTGGGCACGATCACCGCTTTCCCAAGCTGCGACGTCGCCGCGTCAGACACCCGTGCGCGCGCACTGGCCATGCTCGGTTGTCCGCCATGACCGATCGGCTGACCCGCGTAGTGCCACCGCTACGTAAGTCCCCTGCCCTAACCGCTGTCGTCTTTGTGCCGCTTTGTTTCTTTGCGCCGCGCCGCGCTCGCCTCGCCGCCGCTTTCATCATCGTCGCACAGCGGCGAACGCCTCATCGCCGCTTGTCGCGCGCCGCGCCAGACGTTGTTTGGCATGCACGGGGTGCCCGCTGCGCGTGTCGTCGCTTTGCCTTAATGGCGCGCAAGGTCGCGCTGGGCCATGCCACGCCGCCTTTGTCTCACGCGCGCACGACGCGGGCGGTTGTGGAGGGCGCGCTCATCGTTTGCGCCTTTGGATGAAGCACTTTCGGTCCACGACATACACGCCCGCCAGGCGATAGCCACACCATCGCTGCCGCCAGATTTTCCTCGCTGCACCTCTCGCCCACCACGGCCACCGAGGGGGCCGAGCGTGGGCTGACCATCAACCATCAATTCTTCACGCCAGGTGCGCCTTTGCCGTGCCGTCTCAACCGCCACCTCACCACTTTGATTTGCATCGCGACGAGCCCCAATGTGGGGTGTACGACCCTAGATACCCTCGGCAGACCACATGGGCTGCGCTTCTGTGGGTGGCCCAACCCACAAGACGACGACGCTTATGGGTACGACTACCGCTTCGGTGGCTCCCAAGAAGACATCTGGAAGATATCCTAAAGATACTACGATATCTGTTAGGATATGTATGATCCCAAGATTCCTGTAATCTGTTATTACTTTCCGGTTATCTCTTAGATCTAACCGACTTGCAACCCTGCTCCCCGGACTATATAAGGCGGGCAGGGACCCCCTCCAAACTCACGCAATATCATATGACAGCTAATACAAACCAACAGACCACAGGAGTAGGGTATTACGTCATACTGACGGCCTGAACCTGTCTAAATCGTGTGTCTCTGTTGCCTTCTTGTTCTTGATCTCACGCTCATCTACCGATCAATCTACCTTCGTGGGATACCTCTCGGAGGACTGCCGACGGTATTCTGTCGACAGTTGATGCGCCAGGTAGGGGTTTGCGTGTTGTTTCCTTGTCGAACAAGATGGTTTTTTCCGTAGGCTCTTCGTCCCTCCCGCAGCCCGGCTAGATCTTCACGGTCGGATCGATCCCGTGGATCATCAACGCTGACGGAGTCGGAGAGCTCCTTGAGCCGGTGCAGATCAATTCTGCTCTGATCATCCCCGCACCTGTGACTGCAGATCCGATCTCGAAACCACTTTTGAGGTCTCCTTCATCAACAACTCGCCGCCCGCTTCCTCGCTACCAGAGGAGGCAGAACAACAACGATGATCTGATCGAATCCATCGATCGGGTCGGTCTGAAGCTCACCGATTGTCTCTCCATCGCCGAATTAGCTCTAGACACTTTGGTTCAGCGCCGACCACCCTCTGATCCAAATCTATCGAAGGCTGCTCGGAAAACTCTAGGAGTTGCGGCTCTGTCCTTTGGGCTCACCAACGTCGCCGCCACTTACCAAGGCACCCTGCGGGGCAAATTCGCCGACCAGGTGGGATGCGCCCACCCACTCACCGACCAGATCGCCGTCCAGTTTCTTCCAGCCGTCAACATGCTACATATAGGCCGATGCCCCAGAGCGTCCCTCCAGACCATCCCGGAGGAAAATATGAGCTCCGAGTCTCAGGGCTCTATGGAGACCCTCGCCGAAACCTTCACCGAACAACTCCTTCTCCCACCCTTCCAGGGTGGCACGATCTTCAACGTCAGCGTCGATAGCCCTCCTCGAAACGGCGAAATCAAGGAGGAACGTGTCGCTCGTGAGAACCGAAACATCAACCACGCCCAGCGCCGAGAAAACGAAGCGGCCATTGCGAGGGCTGAGGCTGCTCGTTATAATCAGCTTGATTCATAGGGAAGGCCGCTCCTGCTCCACCGCGACCTCGACGAAGAATTTTTCCTCGTTGACGGCCACGACGTCTTCAAGACTCCAAGCGCCAATCTGGCAATGGCCTCCACTAAGCTCGCTCGCCTCCCACAGACGCTCGAGCTCGCCAAGGTCACCACCATGCTTAAAGCGGCACACTGTCAGGTTAATGAGATTCATGAGGATCAGAGACCTTCATGCTCTATGAGCACGATTTACCGATCAGCTACGCCGAGATCTAATCGCCACCCTAGTCAAAGCCGTTTCGTTGACTAGTCGCTGCCTCTCTAGGGGGGAGCCAGGGGCCACGGCGCCGAACACCATCGCCAACATGACCAGGAAGTCGAATAGGACGCTCGAGTGCACCTCAGCAACCTCCGAGATGCATGACGGCGTATCGAGCAACTTCACTTCGATCGCCATGAAGACGAAGTATGTCGTCGCCAGGAGTACGAGCAGTAGTACGGCAACCTAGACTCAGCCCTCGAGCCGATCGCTGATGGCAACACTGCAGACGACGGCGTTGACAACCCTGAGGGGCCCCCAGCTTTCATAAGGGCGCTCCGAATACTTTGGTGGCCCCGTGGTTTTAAGATCGCTGGGGTCGAGCCCTACGAAGGAAGGATGAACCCGACACAGTGGCTGCAGGCTTACGCCACTGCTGTCCGCGTCGCCGGAGGAGACACCAGTGTCATGGCAAATTATCTCCCTGTCATGCTCACGCCACCCGCCATGAGCTGGTTTACTAGCCTTGCCCCGCACTCCATCGGATCCTAGGAAGAGCTGAAGAAAGTCTTCACTGACAACTATATGGCCACGTGTACTCGATCGGGCACCAAGCATGATCTCAACTGCATCAACCAGAAGCCGTCCGACCTCCTCCGCAGCTACATTCGACGCTTTTCCGAGATGAGGAACTCTATTCCCAACATCATGGAAGCTGAGGTCATCACCGCCTTCATCCGAGGACTCCACCATCGCGAGCTTTGCTCCAAATTCAACCGCAAGCCGCCCACAGGCATCGGCGAGATGATCACTACTGCCACCGCCAACCGGAAGCTTGCCGCACGGCCGGTGCTCTCCGTCACTATGGAAGACGCCACCGCCAACCCTAGCTATCGCCCATGGTCTGATGTCCCCATCACCTTTAGCAGGGCCGACCAGTGGGCAGATATTCCCTACACAGGGCATTTGCCCCTCGTCCTCGATGCAACCATCTACAAGGTGCTCTTCAGAAAAGTGCTCATCGATGGTGGGAGAGCTCTAAATCTCCTCTTCGCCGGAGCCCTAAAGGAGCTGGGCCTCGGTTTGTCAGATCTCACACCCTCTGACTCCTCCTTTTGTGGTGTGTACCTGGCAGGGCCTCCAAACCACTTGGAGAGATTACCCTATCAGTATAGTTCGGCATGGCAAGCAACT